AACTGTTTACAATCATGCAGAACTACATACTGCGTTTATAAATTTACTTTATTGTGCACCCACAGTAGCACTCAGAGTAAATAAAAATGATTATGCTAGATTTTTATTATTGTGTTGTATGTCTCGTTGCTTTCTGGGGGGAATCTACTGTATGCTTTTTGTATGGCTAGAATTACATTATTCTAGTGTGGTGTCACATGACAGTTATTGAAAAATCCATACCCTGTGGTGCCACAACACATCACAAGAAGTCTGCCTTCAAGTTCTTTTATTATTGCCCAATTCACTTAATGATCTAGTTGTATTGGGTCATTGGAAAAGCCGTTCAGTATTTTTGTTTTTCTATGCAGAACACGTCAGGACTTTTCCAATGACCCAACAGAAGCAAAATTTGGTCATTATGTATTGCTCTATTGCAGCATTTTGACTGTGACCCATCACATGAGGTTGGTATGGCATCATTAGGGATGCTCAACCTGTACTAGCAGTAACAGAATAAGTGCCAATCCTGAAATAAATGTTAATAATGTTAAAATAATTAAATTATTGTGCTGAACCATCATAAAAATGAAACCATTGATGCTATTATTAAAAAAAGACTACAGAGAAGTTAATTCTAGTTAATAAAGTCAAGTATGATAGTCATGATAATTTATGTACTAAGTTTAGGTAACAGTTTCATGACAAAGAAAAACAGAAAAACTAAAAGTGAAATGTTGAAATACAAGCTGAAATGATGAAATACAGTATAAATACTAAAAAAAAGAGATGCAGTGCTATCCATTACTGCCAAGATCACAGCAATAGCAGGCAGGCTACAAAGTGCCCTCTGGTGGTCAGCGGGCACCACTTGCAGTACTTTTCAGACACCGTTTAGGACCAGAGAACCTAACAATATCTGAGAGACGTCCCAGGTCTGATTTCAGGAAACTGAGACTGACCAGTTAAGTGACTTAGCTAAGATGAACTAGGTGACAAAATAATTTAAGTTTTATCAGAAAACAAATAAAAAACCCTAAAGAATAAGTTGGTTAAATGAAGGAAAAATGTCCTTTATTCAGTCTGCTATATATTTTGACAAATTTAACATTTGATATTTGACTTAATCCTCAATTAACAACTTTAGAAATAGGAATCATGAATAACAATACACCTAATGAATAAATTTCAAATGCTTTTAAAGAAGCATATGTCTTAAAAGCTTAGGAAAAAAGTCATGATTTTCCTTTAAAAAATACATAAAAAACCTTTTATTTATTTTTTTTTAAGCTATTATGGCAGGGTTGTCAATAAGTATAGCTTATTTTTTGATCCAGTTCTAGAACTTGTCACACTGAATTCCCTCATCTGAAACATAAGGACAATAAAACAGCTGCACAACAGTAACAGTGTATAGACTGACACCATTAAGGAGAAACAACTCTCTCTCTTCTGCTGGACATTCTGTGGTTCTCTGCAAACCTCCTACCTTCCCTGTGGTTGCCTCCCACTTGTGGTCCCCTCAGTGGTTACCTCCCATCCATCTCAAGTGTTCCATCTACCTTTCACTCTCTTACTTCCAGCGGATCATGTCTTCATTTTCAAAACTGGGCCACCAGATGTGGGAAGCCTTCAATTTCCAAGCTAGCTCTGACTGCATCTGTATCTTACTGCCTTCCTCCCAGTAAGAGGTGGTGGTCCTCTTCATCCTTCCCCAGGCTCACTCTCCATCAGCACTCTGGGCCCTTGCCTCCAGGATCTTGCTACTCACATCCCACTCCCCCTCCTTATCTGCCCTCTCTTTCACAATATAAACTCAAAGCAGCTCCTGTTTTAAAATGATCTCATGACTGCATTCACTGATAGTCTTTCACATTTCCTTTCTGGGTAATCCCAATTTCATGGCTTCAATTACCATTTTATAGATTACATTTCCTAACTGAGCTTAGAGCCAGTTTTAACAGAGCCATATATGAACATATAGCCTCTTTTTCCAAATTTGTTCTGCAATTCCCTCCTTGGTGGACATCTGTCCATCTATGTACCCCAAGACAGAAACAGGATTCATCCTGTCTCTCTCTGTCTTTCTGGCAAATACATGAGCCCTATAGCAAAAACCTCTCCAAAAAAAAAAAAAAAAAAAGGATTAATGAGGTCTCTCATCTTTCAGGGGCAGAACTACCTCTCAAATACATTTCCTTTCTGTCCTCCTCAAGTCATAATTCAGATTCTCATTTTTTTTTCCCATGAATTCCCTAAGAATCCCCTCATTAATCCTTTTTTTTTTTTGGAGAGGTTTTTGCTATAGGGCTCATGTATTTGCCAGAAAGACAGAGAGAGACAGAGAGCCAGAAAGTGAGAAATCACTCCCCCAGGGGGATGGCCATGCTGCAATCCTTTCTCCTCCATTCTCCTCATGGGATCTTGGGCACCACGCACATGTGCCTGACGTGAGTTTAAAGCCACCGAGTCAGGGACTTGAACCACGGTCGACTACATGGGGGGTCCAGCGACATAGCCCTTACACTAACTGCTGGTTCCCCCTTCATTAATCCTTATGATTATCAATTGACCTAGTTGCCAGTTACCTTTTAAAAATTCAAACCTATTCAGAACTCCTTCCTGATTAAAAGCCTTCAATATTTACTACCTAAAGAATCAAACTGAAATTCTTCCATATGTTTCCCTGGCTCTCTTTTAGCTCCCTCTATGACTTCACCTCGAGCCACCTTTGCCCTTGAATCCAGTGCTTTACACAGTTCAAACTGCTTGTAACTCACAAACATGCCACATAGTTTCACCTCTCTGTGCCTTTAAAGATACTTCCTAAAAGAATACCAGTGTCCGTTCTGTTAGCTTGGCAAACTCATTCATCTACATGACTCTGAGAAACTTGCTTTGGTGCCTCAGGATGAACTGTATCCACCTTGCCCTGTGATACCCCTTTTTCTCTTAACCTAGCTCCGTCACCTTTATCATATGATATTATCTTATGATGTCTGTGTATTACTTGAGAGCAAAAACTGGGTCTTTATCTAATGAGTCCAGTATCTAATAGTGCTACAGATGACATGCTGTTGGATAAAGAAACACGAATAAGGTGTACAAAATAAATGTATCAATGGTTTATATCCAGATGGTGGAGCTAGCCTTATTCTTCAGTTTCGTTTTATCTCTCAAACATATTCCTAAGCATTTTGAGGGTTGAGATAGTGTCTTCTACTGATTTAAATATCTGCCTGTTTATTTATTTTTAAGGTTTTTGCCATAGAGTGTTTGTGTTTGCCAGAGAGACACAGAGAAAAAATGAGAAATCACCCCCAGAGGGGATGGCCACACCACAATCCCTTCTCCTCCAGTCTCCTCTTGAGTTTTTGGACACACACACACCTGGCATGATTTTCAAGCCAACAGGTACAGGACTCGAACTGCAGTTGCCATGTGGGAGTCCAGCGTTTTAATCACTATGTCACCTGCTGGTTCTGCAACCTGTTTATTTTTAACAGTGTAACAAATCTTCTAATTGTCACTGTTTTATCTAAAAGTGTATATTTTAAAAAGTCACACTAAAGTAAAATATCTGGAAGGCACAAGCTGGTGTTCTTGATAACTGTGAGACACTGCAAATTCCTCAAGTACCAGCTAAGTCACCCTTAAGCTTATTTTATGCTTGTACTCACTATCAGTTTAATGTTACACGCATTTTATTATCCTGTGCTAGTTTTACAAATTTCACAGTTCACCTTGATGACATATGGGGATTATTAACCACTCATTAGATAAACCAGAAGACAGTATACAGTATAGCGTTTAGAGAAGTGAGAAAAGGTAAAACAAAGGTGAAATCAAAAGCATTTATGGGCGGGGGAATAAAAAGTGGGCTAAACTTGAGAATAGGGGAACCTGCCCTGGGATTTTGGGATTGTGCTAGGCTTTATGTGGGTTGGTTACTGTGAAACCTTTCAAGCTGTAATTTCCCATGTAACTGTATATTTGAATTGTGTGTGTAACAAGAAGATTCAAACATTTCATGAATAAGATTTTGGTTCTCGATGTGACAAAGTTTGACACTATTAAAGGAGGAGATAGTCCTGTGGATTTAGCTGAGAATGACTGCCAGAAGAGGTGTGAAAAAGTCTCTTACTCATTTCTTCACATTACCGAAAAATGCTTACCCGTATCTGAAAATAGTCTTTGTATAGGCATAGGTTTGGGAGGCCAAAAATATATCCACTTTATTAATTTTTAGCTCTTATTTTTTATTTGAAAATGTGAATGTAAAGTTCAAATATATTTTCATAATTTGTACACTTAAAATATTAAGTATCCATAAATATTACAAGAATGTATATATCATAAAAGTATAAGTAAAACACTCTCCTGACCACAAGGAGGAAGGTACCTTATGCCAACCTAAGATCTTCAGCTTTATCTTACAGTTTATAACAGGTATGAAGTACTGTGGACATACAGGATAGAGTTCACTTCCAAGTGAAAGAGTAGGGAGGCAGTGATGGACTATGTGCTGAGGGACAGGTGGGGTTTACACAGATAAAATGATGAGAAGGTATCCCAGGAGGTGGAGAGCTTGCACAAAGCCAGAGAGAGTGGGAACACTCACTACTCTGATGTTTCTAAAATCTTACAAAAGTGCAAAATATATTGAAGGAAGAGAAAGCCAGGCAATGGATGGGAGTTGGACAGTAGAATTTGGACCTTATTTTTGAGCAGAAAGGAGTTGGGCAGTAGAATAGAATACTCAAGACTATGCTAAAACTCTGAGTGAGGGAAGGATGGTCTGAAAGAAAAGACTAGAAAGATCAGTGAGGAGGCTCCTTCTATACTCTGTCCCAGAAGTAGCAAATCCTTATCTAGGCTGACAGCAACAGATAGAAGGAGATGGATGACAGAAATAGTGAAGAGGTGGAGGCCACATGATCTGGCCAAGTCCACCAATATAAAAAGCAAAACAATAAATATGAAGTACATTTTTCAATGAGTGAAGTTCTTTAGCAACATACCTGAAAAACAGATAATCACATGATGGGTCCCACATAAAGTCGTCATAGCTTACCACCCAGAAATCGCAGGCTATACAACGCAGATGGTCACAGGCTCTGTTCGGAGAAAAAGAATCTCTGTATGTTAGAAATTACTAACAGTATGTTTAATTATAAACACATTATAGATTACTGAATAAACAACAGGAAGGTCTGATTATAAATGTTTATACTACAGACTATTTGCATATCTAAACTTTTAGATTAAATTTTTACACAAACCTACCTATTGGATCATCTGAAAAGTCATGATGCATTTTTGCATAGAAAAAAAATAGAAAAATACATCATGACTCTTCTGATGACCCAATATTTTTACTGAGATCATGCACAGTGATACATATATGCATGAATGAATAGAAAAAATGAATTTATTTTATTGTTTTCAAATTGTGTCTAAGGGCGATCATTTAAACTAACTTCTTTAAGTGCTCTTCTTCCTACTGAAATTTCCAGGGATATCTCTCTCAGAGTGTATGCTACATTATATCAAAAGAAATTTGTCTTCCCCATGAGCTACACCAGTGTTGGGACAATATTTTATTTGTGTTTTCCTCCAACTCAGTATAATGCATTCATTTACCTATCGAGAGAGATTCCATCTTCATGGAGTTTAGATTTTAGTGAGAAAAGATATGAACAATGCTTATAATAACTGAATTTTATTTTTATCAGCAAACTCCTAATTATTTTATGACCTTTTTTTTTTTTTTTTTTTTTTATGGCCTTTTTTTTTTTTTTTTTTTTTGAGAGGTTTCTACTATAGGGTGCGTGCACTTGCCAGGAAGACAGAGAGACAGAAAGCAAGAAATCAACCCCTGGGGGGATGGCCATACTGCAATCCCTTCTCCTCCATTCTCCTCTCGAGATCTTAGACATGCACGCACATGTGCCTAGCATGAGTTTTAAGCCACTGGGTCTGGAACTCCAACTGTGGTCAACTATGTGGGAGTCCAGCAATGTAACCATTACTCCATTTGCTAATCTGCTTGGAATTATTTTAAAATTAAAATTATACCAGCAGGGCCAGCAGGTGGTATGGTGGTTGGGGTACTGGACTCCCACGTGGCTGACTGTGGTTTGAGTCCTGGACCTCATGACTTGCCTTCTCACTATCCCTCTCTCTCTCTGGTCAAATTGAAAAATTAGAATAAAATAAAATTAAAAATAATTCTTTAAAAAATTATACCAGTAATCCCATTTTGGGAAACTTATTACATATAAACAAGACTAGTAATAAGCATATATATATCAATAATATTTATTACAGTATTGTTAAAGTGGAAAAAACAGGATACTACTTGAATATCTATCAAAAAAGAAAAAGACATGCAGTATGTTTATATTGTGGAGTATTAGGCAATCAATACAGAGAATTAAACTTATTTGCTGACTTAGAAGGACATTTAAAGCAAGGTGCACAATAACATATATAGCATGATCCTATTTTGTAAAACAATCAAAAAATTTCTTGTATAGGTCACTGTAAGTCTGTAAGATCATGGAGCAAAATGCAGGGTATATGCCATGTAACTAGCACTAGTTGCCTCAGAGGTGGTGGGAATGAGGGGGAGGGAAGGAAGAGATTACCTTTTTCTTCATACATTTTTAATAAGTGTGTAACTTGTGCAATTAAAAAATAATCATTGGATTTTTTTCACTTATTTCCCTCCAAAATCCAGATATAATTAACTTCAAAATTGTAAATATGTTTTTGAGTAGGAAGTCTTTGAAAATAAATGCTTTGAATTTCTAAAAATATGAACTATGACAATAATTAAACATTTAAAATCTATATGTTCTATAAGCAATTCCGTATTTTCTTCCAAACTGTTAGCAATTTATGATGTTGTATTTGTACATGTGGAAGTTCAACACAATTATATATACTTGAACTCAGAGTCTTAATATTCAAGTCAGGAAACACAAATGATGGTTCCCAAAGCTACCATAACTTGCTTTCTTATGCATATGTAGTTTATTACATGATTGCATAGAGTGTTAACTTTAATGCCTTAATACATATGTGCAATTTGGCTGAATTATTGCTGTTGTGGGAACTATAATTTAGAATTTCCTGACATTTTGTATGTGTTCAATCTCAACCATAATGTTAAATACAGCTTTTTAATTTAAAATTTAGTAGTTTATTCAAATCTATTCACACTACCACATTTTCCTACAAACAATGTCCTTTGAGAAAAATAAAACCAACTTGCAGCTAAGAAATCATTCCACTACTATGCTTCACTTTGTTAGATCATAATTAGTACATGGAATAACCCAGCCCTGCAAGTAGTTTAGAAAATAATTAAAAGAGTAAAGTTCGATTGGCTTGAAAATAATGCCTTAGTTTTATCTATACCACTTATTAATGTCTCCATGCTTCCTAGTACTATTTTTTTCCTTCCATTAACTGAGTAGAAGACTGAAATCTTTACATTAAAAAAACCATTCAGAATTATCCCCAACCCAGATTTTTCTTTGGAAATCAAACAGTAGACAGAATAGAGTCCATTTCCTATATGCCCTGGGCATGTAAATCAGTGCTTATTTTTAGGGCTTAAATATATTTCTCTTCCATAATGATTTGTATGGATATATATGTATATATATAAATAAATCAAAATATGAAGTCAAGATTCCACTGAAAGATAAATTGTTAGGTCTTTCCTTCTAAAATGTAGAGGGAACACACACATGAAAGTGTCACCAATAGCTTCATTCTTTCATCCAGCTAGAAAGTAGAACTGGCTACTTTAAAGATGTTTATAGTAGAAATGCACAAAATACAGCCCAATATAGTTTTCTGCCCAGACTCTGTGGTTCTCAGTTAAATTTTATCAGATGTACACAGTGGATCTAGGGAGTTTTGCTGTTTGGACAGCTTGAAAATAACAGTAGCTGCAAGAGCAACAGCAGCTAAAGTCCTTCACTCTTATGTACATTAAGTGGCTTTCTGTAAATTGGTATACTAGGAAGCATAATGGATTGAGAATCAAGTTACCAGTCTGAGTCCTTGCTTTGTAAGAACTGATGTGACCTTTGGCAAGGCACATTACCTGGAAATCATTCTTGACAACTTTCTCTCCTACCACCCATAGCCAAATTCTGTCAATTCTATATTCTAAATATCTCAAATGTGATACCCTTTCCTTATAGCCACTGGCACCACTCAGGTTATAACTACCAGCATTTTTTTCCCATCATCTCTCATCATGGTTGCCTGCTGACTAATCTTCCTATGTCCTCTTGTCTCACCTCTCCAACTTCCAAGTCATTTTCCATACAGCACTCGAAATGCCTTTTAGAAACACAGATCTCACTATGGCACCCCTATATGCTAAACAACAAAACAAAACAAAAAACCCAAATGGCTTGCAATGCACATATGACATATTTTTCTAAAATCTGAGGAGTTCAGAATCCCAAACAGAATGCCTTTTTATTTTTAATTATTTAATTTTATTTATTATTATTATTATTTAATTTGACCAGAGAGAGGTCATGTGGGAATCCAGTGCCTTAACCACCGCACCACCTGCTGGCCCCCAAACAGAATGTCTTTTGACCATCTCTCATGCCCCATCAGAGGCCATTATTTTCCCCACATAGATGCTTTCTCATCTTCCAACATCCTTAGCTGCTTTCCATTTCAGGGATCTGAACAGTGTGCCCTTTAGCTGCAATGGTCTCCTCTCTCTGCATGACTTCTTTTTTATATTGTGGTTTGACTAAATGTTACCAGTTCAGGGAAGCATTATTCTGGCCTTTCATATCAGTTAAGGTGCCCATTTAGCTTTATGCATATATTCTCCTATACTTTAGTTTCTGAGAGAGACAGTGAGAGGAAAAGTGAGAAATCACCTCCCAGGGGGGATGGCCATGCTGCAATCCTCCTTCATTCCCCTCTCAGGATGTTGGGCATGCACACACATGTACCCAGTGTGATTTCAAGCTGCCAGGTCCAGGGCTGAAGCCATGGTCAGCCATGTGGGAGTCCTATACTTAACCACTGTGCCTCCTGCTGGCCCCAGTATTCTGTCATTTAACATCATATATAAATTGGAAGTTACTTATTTATAGAATTGCCTGTTTAAAGTCTATCTCCTCACCTAGACCAAAAACTCATTGAAGGCAGGAAAGTATCTATTTTTTTTTGTTCACCAAAACGGGTTCACTTAGTCTCTAGGACCTAGCAGGTGATTAATATGTGTTTGATGAATTTAACACCAGAACTTCAATCTCCTTATTTATAAAATGGAGTTAAGAATCTGCATCTTGGGACCAGCAGATGGTTTAATGGTTATGTTGCTAGACTCCAACATGTCGACTGCAGTTCGAGTCCCAGACCCAGTGGCTTCAAACTCACACTGGGCGTGGGTACCCAAAATCCCAAGAGGAGAATGGAGGAGAAGGGATTATGGTGTGTCCAACACCCCTGGTGGGTGATTTCTCAATTTCTGTCTGTCTGTCTCTCTAGCAAGCACATGTGCCCTATAGCGAAAAACTCTCCTAAAAAAAATCTGCATTTTGTGTATTTCTCTGTGAAGTAGGTGAACAAATATGCATATAAAAAAAGTGCTCTGGACAGCATAAAGTATAGTATATATAAAATGTTTTATACACACACGAACATATATTTATCTTTCTATAGGTACAGATTTTGTGCCATGAAAGGGACAGGTGATGACTGGCATCTTTGTGATGGGTGAGGGAGAAAAGACTTTTGAATATAATCATTTACCTATGCATGGACAGGCTGAAGAGCCCTCATCCAAAATGCTTGGGATCATAGCATTTCATGGTTTTTTTTTTTTTTACCATTTGCATATACATAACGAGAAATATCTTGGGGATAGGGCCTAAATGTAAACATGAAATTAATTTACATGTAGCCTGAAGATAATTTAATACAGTATTTTTATATTTCAGTGTTTTGACTGTAATACATCACATGAGGTCAGGTGTGAAATTTTCCACTGTGGCATCATGGTGGCACCAAAAGTTTCAGGCTTTGGAGCATTCTGGATTTTGGACTTTTGGTTTAAGGGTTGCTTAACTTGTGTATGTAGAGGATACCTACTCTTGTCATCATACAGAAGGTAGGTAGGAATATGGTTTGATAGGCTTTAGCATCCTCGTGGATCAAATTATGTGATAGAAACCTCAAACATAAAAACAGGCTATTTTTTGGTCTGCCAAAATTTTAACCGGAACACAACTCCTCTTTGCTAGAACTAAATCAAAGTACATACAAAGTATACTCTATATGAGAAAATCTTAATAAAATCTTTACTCTTTGAAAATAAGCTAGAATGTACTATCTTTATTTAAAAAGACCATTTTAAAACCATAAAGTACCTATCAATAACCACTCATACATTTTTCCTGAGGCAGTAAAGTAGTAGTAGAATATACTGGGCTGTTGGAAAAGTCATGATCCATTTTGCATAGGAAAACATAGGAAAATAAGTTATGATTTGTCTGACAACCGTAGAATTCTTGCCTTTGTGATATAATGAGAAAACAAGAGTGATAGAAGAGAAAGACATAAATAAATACAAATCAGGGTACCTGTAGCAGCTAGCTGTCTTCTGCACCACAGGCATAGCTCTTAAGTATTACTTTAATTAAGCACTATATTAATTTAGTTGTTTCAGGTGAGGAAGTGGGTTTTAGAAGAGACTTCTCAAGACTTTATAGCCTATGAGTGGCAGAGTGCAGTTTTGAACTCAGGAGTTCTGTTATCAGGGCCCTTTCTCTTTATACCAGGGTATAATCATTACCTTCTTAAAATGTTTCTGTGTCTCTACTGGCCACTGTTTGTTTGTTGGTTTCTTTATTTTTGGCAGAATTAAGGGCTTAGGGGACCAGCAGTTGGCGTAATGGCTATGTCGCTGGACTCCCATGTAGTCGACCGTGGTTTGAGTCCCGGAGCCAGTGGCTTAAACTCACGCCGGGCGCATGTGCGTGCGTGCCCAAGATCCCGAGAGGGAAATGGAGGAGAAGGGATTGCAGTGTGGCCATTCCCTCTGGGGGGTGATTTCTCGTTTTCTATCTCTGTTTCTGTCTTTCTGGCAAGCGCATGCGCCCAATAAGGAAAAAAAAACCCCAAAACAAAAAACAAAACACCTCTCCAAAAAAAGAAAAAATAAAAACGAATTAAGGACTTAGGAAATGGTGGGCATTCAATGAATTTAAAAAAAAAGAAAAGAAAAAACAGAGGCCCAAAAGCATGAGAAAATAAACCTGCAGTATGTGAATTAAGTAGATAAGACAGCAGGGGTTGTGCATTAGAAAGGAGTGTCATTCCAGGCAGGAGGTGGTAAATGTACAAATACTCAGAGGCAGAAAAATATAAGTGAAGAGCAGAGGATGACAAATGTTCTAGTGGAAGTGGAGCATGTGATCCAAGCTTTAATCGGAGGTGAAGGAAATAGAAGTACAGTTTAGCAAGGCTGTACTCCAGGGGGTTCACATTAGCCTGTTTGCTGCCTAGTGTTCCTGGATAAGGCTTCCCTAGACTCCCAATTTCACTTTGGTTCTATAGCCCTTCCTTCCAGGTTTCTGAGGATTTAACAACTCTCCAATAATGTCTTCTTAGATCCTACTTCAATTTCTCAATATATCAGTTATCTTTCTAGAAATGTGGTCAATATATAATCATATAACTCAGTTTTTTTCCCCTTAAAACATTAATAGAAAACAAAGTGTTTTAGAAGTACCCACACACAAAAATAATAATCTAGGTAAGTAGGCCTCTGCCCAATATAGGATAGTAAATTTGTTTAAAACCAGTCTGTTTCCCCATATAATGAAAATGGTAATGACATGTTCTAGGAGTAAGGGGCTAATAGGGGCTTGGTACAGATGTCATCATGACTGTAAGACTGTCTAAGAGGTACTAAATGAGAAAGTGGGTATAGGAAGGGACAAACGGAAGACAAGGAACACGGAGGGTGGGGGGAGGGCTTCTATTTAAAAATATGTAAATATGTGAAAATCAAGCGATCATGCTTAAGAACTTTTCAGGTAATGCAGACCTATAGCTTCTCACGCTAACAGTTTGGCCAAAACGGAGCAGGTAAGGCATCTTGTAGCCATTGCTTCCCCTGCTTTAAACACTGGCTTCCATGTCCTGATGTCCTGGGGAAGCCAAGCTGGGACTTGAGCGATTTAGACATTTCAGGCGAGGCTCAGAAAAGGGCTTCAGTACAACAATGATACATGCCCGTCCTCACAGCCCTCTCAATAGCTCTCTCCCAAGGATAATAAACATTTCAACAAAGTGAACTTAAGAGTGGCTAATGAAATATATCTCTTGTAAGACGGAATGATACCAAGATAATAAAAACTACATTTTAACAGCAGAGTATCAATTGTAAAAACCTAGTAAGAAAGGATATACTTCGGACATCCTACCTCTGTGAAGTGTTTGTGCCAATCCCACATGGTATGGTGCTTCCACCAAGGAATACAGGACTGCAACTAGATGTGTTCCATAGATGGAGAAAAATGAAATTACAACAAAAAAGAATTATGAGAAGTTAATTTGGCCTCATTGATTCTATGTTCTTGTAATCAAACAGTATTTTCCCTAGCAGACCAACTATTTGAAAGAAGAGAGATTTATTCTAGGATCACTGCTTTATTGGATATAACCTGTATATTTAAGAACACTCAAGCAGTTAAAATGAGTCACAGAAAAATGTGTTTGCCAAATAATGTAAGGGACAAAGTAAATACTGAAGATCGTAACAGAACATTAATTTTGAGAAACTGTTCACACTTTTTTTTTTAGACATGGCAGAAAATTATTTACAATGGCAATAATCTCCCATTTAATTTCCTTTACACTAAGAGGTCACACACCATAAAAACATGGAAGATATTGCTATTGGTCTTTCTCCTGAAGGCCAACCTATGCTTTGTTGTTCTATGTCACTGTTGTTTAGCTGGTTACAGAATCTACTAGACTATGCTCATAGTGTTTGCTCACTAGTGTGTATAATTCACCAAAGCAACTTACCTTTTACCAAAGCCTTGAATGGAAGCACTGACAGATGTGTTACCTGAAGATTTAGATTTTAATTTCTGTTAAAAATAAAATAAAAGTCAAGGGTAACTTAGAGAACTGTAACATGAAAACTAGTATTTTTAAAAGTTGTGTAACAAGAGTATTTTAGGTGACTTAAATAAAAATATTTGTGGCATCATTTTAAAGTTTCTGAAATAAAAACAATGATCAAAACCTTTTAAAGGTAAAAAGGAAGTAAAACTCCCTGAGGAATCTGCCAATTACTTTGCTAACTTTTAGGCCAGGAAACTGATATACTGCCATTATTAGCATGCTAAGATTTAGAGTCACTTTATAACTCTTCAGTTAATACTAGAGTTCAATGATTTAATATGAAAGACCTGCTATTTAAAACTTCATTTTGGAAAATTTCAATTCAAGAGAAAAAATCCAAATCTCAGACTCGTTTTTAAAGACTGTGAATGGTACTCATTTGAATTAAATAAAAAAACACTAACCACACTTCTGTGTAACTTCAGAAATATTAATTTTGATCTAGTGGAATGGTATCAACCAATAGATATTCGGCGAAACCGTAGAGCTACCTAGTCACAAACCATACAGTAGTTCCTATATGGTTACATAACATCACCATTAGTGAGCATTTATTAAGTGTTAAGTGGTATATAGTACCAAACAACATAAACCAACCTCTTACTAGGACCACCGCCAAGGGGAGGAAGTGAGATGGAGAAAAGGCAATTTAAACTATGCAGAGACAAGTCTTCATCTTACCTAGTGGGTGAGGAAATTTAAAGGAGACAAAAATCTTTCACTGTACTATTTCTCTTAACTCTTTGATTTTAAACAGAGCTAAGAAATTTTGAGTGCATGTCTAAAAAAATAATTATGTACAAGGGTCTCTGTTTTGGGGAGCATGCTTTAATATACAATTCTGTCTCTAAGCTGACCCACGGTAACATTTGTGGTTAGTTCCTGGGCCTTCTTGTGTGGGTCTGAGAGCAGTTCAGAAATACAGCAAAATGAGAGGGCAGAGGGTGGACTGAGACTGAGGGAGCAATACTCTCAGTACATAATGTCTCTAAGGAGAATGTGGGTATGGATCATCCATCTGCTCATAGACGCTTTTCCTCACCCAATTAATGTTCTACCCAGACCTATTCTCTTGGAAAAGTAGACACAATAACTAACTGGAAAAGGGAAACATACAAAAGTGCATCTTCATGATGGTGAGAACTACTTTTATTTCAAATTAGTGTATCTTTGAGAGAGAGAGTTATTTTGCTATGGAGTGTGTGTGCTTGCCAGACACACACAGACAGTGAGAAATCATCCCCTGGGGGGATGGCCACACCCACAATCCCTTCTCCTCCATTCTCCTTTTGGGATCTTGCACACACGCCTGGTGTGAGGTTCAAGTCACCGGCTCCAGGACTTGAACCACGGCAGACTACATGGGAAACCAGCGACATAACCATTACGCTATCTGCTGGTTCCTCAAATTAGTATATCTTAAAGCCAAACCAGAGAATTTATCTTCTCCTTCTGAAACATCTTGAACTTAAGAAATAGTGCCTCATATAAACATACTACAGTACTTAATCATAAATTGCTCAGATGATTAGTAAATAATAACGGAAGTATCACGTAGTGTCCCCCCTTACTATTATTAGCATTACTATGTGGTACTTATGAGGCACTTATGATGTACCTGTCTGTATAATATTGCTATTATATTGACATATTAATTAACTAGGCATCAGCTTATTAGTGTACTTCAGATGAACTGAAAATGTTACATTTAGAGAAATTCATAAAATCTATAATCTTAAAATTCTGTAAGTCATTTGACTAACATTTTTTTCTTTATTCATAAGAGTATTTTTCATGCATATGAGAAGCGTGAGAGGGATGAGTACCCTCCATAGGGTTTGGTCATAACTACCACTCCCTTCCTCCAGCCCTCCAGCAGGAGGGGTCTTTGTTACTCACACCTGCACTCAGCTGTTTCAGGCTGACCAGGCTGAGGATGTGAATAGTGGTGGCCATGTGGGATCCAGCTTTTCTTGAGCAACATGTTATCATTATACCATGGAGCTAAACTCCAGTCATTTGATTTTTAGTGTGGTGACAAGAATGTAAGTGTTCCCTATCCATATCCTTAACAACACTATTACCTAGTGATTTTCACTCCACTGTTGCTTTAATCTTTCTACCATTTAAAAGAAACCTCTGGTATTCTATTTATTTTTTTTCTTTGTGGTCTTTGTAAATTAGTTTTTTTTTTTAAAAGAGATTTTTACTACAGGGCACATGTGCTTGCTGGAGAGACAGAGACAGAAAGCAAGAACTCACTCCCCCCAGGCAGGATGGCCATGCTGCAGTCCTTTTTCTTCCTCTTTCCTCTCAGGATTTTAGGCATGCACACACATGTACCTAGCGTGAGGTTTACGTCTTCAGATTTGAGACTTGAACTGTGATCAGCCATGTGGGAGTCCAGCAATGTAACCATTATGCCATCTTCTGGTCGACATAAATTAGATTTTTAAAGTGACTTTGTTAGTTTTAGTTTTTTAAAAAAAATTATTATTTTTACTTGCTATAGGGCATGTGTGCTCACCAGAGAGAGAGAAAAAGAGAAAGTGAGAAAGCAAGCCTCGAGGTCCAGGACTCAAACAGTGGTCAGTCATGTGGGAGTCCAGCATCTTAACCACCATGCCCCCTCCCGTGCTGGTCCATTAGTTAGATTTCTATTTGGTCTCTCTTAAAGCTAATGAACATGTTTCACACACACTATACTGATTAAAAAAAAAAAATCAAAGTATATACATTCTCAAATGCTACTGGTGAGAAAAATAACAAATGATATCGTCACTTTGGAAAACAATGTGGTAATGGGTAGAAAAATTGAAGATAAGCACTGCTTACAACCTAAAATTCCTTTCTAAGTTTAAAAACCTAGAATAACTGTTGGGAAAAAAAAAGGTATGTAAAGATATCTGATGAAGCATTATTTGTATAGTGGTAAAACAAATGAGTATAATCTAAATGTCCTTCACCAGGGAAGTAGATAAACAACCTGCACAGAGTTACATAATGTTTATACACAGTTAAAATTGTTTATAGTTGTGTACATATATATAATCATAAAAATATGAATGGAAAGGCTACTGGTTACCTCTGGGAAGGAAGGCCGTAGAGCAGGATGTAGAAAAGTTTTAAACTGTATTCGATTTTTTATTTCCTTAAAATAGGATTGGAAAGCAAATATAGCAAAACACTGAGGTATATTTAGTATATTTAAATTGCTAGGTCTAGGACTCAAACTGCAGGATTGGCCATATGGGATCCAGCGCCTTAACCACATGTCACGGGCTGGCCTCAACTAACTCTCTGCCTCTGCAAGAAAGGCCACCAATGGATTATTGAAAGGCCACCAATGGCAATTATGATATATTTAGTATATAGGTAGCTGTTATATATGAACTTTTCATATAGTTAATGGTTGAGATCCTAACCACATTCCTATCGTAAATTTAGTCTTTCAGAAGTTCTTAGAGATGACAAGTAGATACAAATGACCAAGTTGATTTGCGAGTTGACTTTTATGCTAACATTTTCTCATTTCTTATTCTTACTGAGAAATGAACAGGGAGACACATATTGAGTTTCTAATATTTTATTTCTTCTACAATTCTTAAGTGGAATAATTTAAGTAATTGTATTTGTCAGAATTCAAAGGACTCCTGAGAGCTACTTGTGCCTTAAGTTTTAACACTACTTAACATGTAACATGCCCTGAAATAATGAAAGAATTACTGTGCACTTGACTTACAAAGTGTTTTTTGTCAATATTGGACTCTTCAAATATTTCATTAATAAGACTGTCAAGATCATCTTCTTTTTTAAATGTTTCTGTTGATCTGAAAAATAAAAAAACCACACCAAAAACCTCACTGAAGCTTAAGTGCAAATAGTATCAGAAGAATTTTATTTAAAGTCTATTATTAGAAGTGATAACAGAAGAATAAACGTGATGCTAATTTTTTTTGCCTATGAACATAGCTTAAGTTTGTTGAGAAAAAGATAAAATTTATCAGACATACCACATATTTAAAAGACATTTAAAGCCTTGTTATTATATTAAAGCAAAGGCTACAAATATACATTTCTAAATTACATCAAGTACTTATTTAGAGAATAATATGTACAATTATAACTAGAATCTTATATATAAACACAGATAATTTTAACCAATCCTTCTCATTTTTCCCCTAACAGTTCCATTGTAAGTCAAATAACCCTATCTCTTTACTGGAGGAGCTAAAGGTTGCATATCAAATGACCAAAAAAAAAAAAAAAAAAAAGTGCTATATGTTAGAATATCTCAACTACCAATTATTTATTTTTAAAAGAGATTGCCAGAGGATGCATGTGCTCCCAGGAGAGAGAGGGGGGGGAGGGGAAAGTGAGAAAGCACTCCTTATGGGGAATGGCCATGACACAATCCCTTCTCCTCTATTTTTCCTTTTGGGATTTTGGGCATGTACACACATGCATCCAGTGTATTTCTTAAATTGCTAGGTCTAGAACTTAAACTGTAGGTTTGGCCATATGGGATCCAGCACCTTAACCACATGCCATGGGCTGGCCTCAACTAACTCTCTACCTTCTGCAAGAAAGGCCATCAATGGATTATTGACACACATTGTTACTGCACAGAACTTCTACTTAATAGCTAACATTTACTGAGTATTTACTAAACGCTGAGAACTGTCCTAAGGCTTTACATGTGGCCTCTATCCATTTAATGACAGTAGCATACCCTTCCTCAGTTGTGACAACTAAAAATGCCTCTAGACATTGCCAAAGGTCCCTTGGGTAGCAAAATCATTACCAGTTCAGAGCTACTGACCTAGCATAAACCTCAGTTTATTAAAACCGCTCCCAGGTGTAATGCCCTCTCTCTGGCCTCTATATCCCCCAGCTACTGTGAAATTCTCTCAAGGTCCCTACTGCCCAAGTCAGTACATACAGTGGTCTCAGGCCCAGATCTTTTGAATCTTTCAGAAGCATGTGACACTGTTGGGTACCAATGCCTTCAACTTCTTTTATGACAGAAGGTTGCAAAGATGTCCTCTTGAGACTCTCCTCTAGTTTTCATGACATACTCTTTGGGTGCCCTCTCATGCAATTTCAGTTTTAAAAATCAGATGCATTCAAATCCTAGCAACCAAATCAGTATTGTTAGACAGCCAAACTGTCAGTTTACGTAAGATTCCAGCTGTTACTAGATCATACAAATTCCATGATGCCTATACTTGCCTATGCTTTGCTACAGTAAAGAAAAAAAGATGCGCAAATATGAGAAGTAGTTTTTTGGATCAAAACCCAAGAGACTTAAGAAAGTTCCCAAATTTCTATTTGACAGCCTGGGATCTGTTGGGATTTACTGGGGCCATGTGGAGAAAGCAGGTAGTTGGGCTAATAGGGATAATGTTCACAATAACTCTTTCGACGAGAATCTAGTCTAACACCTTGGCTTGAAAAAAAAAAATCAGCTCATGACAGAAAAGAACGGTACCATATTCTACCCTCTTAACTCCTGGCCCAAGTGCTGCCCTGCGGAGTGGGGTGAGAGGCTACACAGGTCGAGGTTCCCCGCCCGGCGCCTGCCAGGAGGGCGAGAACCGCTGTGCCAGACGGAACCTAACTCCGGCCCGGGTGGGCGCGGCCTTCTGGGGTGTAAGACGGACGTCTAACTGCACCGACTGGCGGGCACAGACCGGTCAAAGAGCCCGGGTGAGGGCCGGGGCTCCCCGAGGCGCGCACTTTGGGCTGGCCCGGGGGGTGGAGCCTGGGCCTGGAGGACAGAGGCCGGAGTACTCCCGGGCAAAGTGCCGTGCGCGCTGCGGCGCAGGAGCGGGAGCTGAGGTCTGGACCCTACCGCGGGGACGATCGGGAGGTGGCGGGCACCTTTCTTCGGGGTGCGGCGGCGGGGGACGGCTTTGGGGCCCGGAGCAGGGTGTCCCCAGAACCGCCCACCCCTCCCGCCAGTTAACCTGAGCTGCTCTTTCGCCTCGGTTCCCGGTTCCAGCCGGCGGGTGCCGCCGCCTCCGCCTTTGGGCCGCTCGACCCTGCCCAGTCGCAGTGGGTCAGGTCTGCAAAACTTGGACTCGACTTCATCCAGGAGCTCGTCTAGGTCCTTCGCCATCTTGAATCGTCACGTCTTTCCCGCTCTCTGTAGCCGCTGCGCCGGGTGGTTTCCAGGGCAACGCCAGCACCGCCGCGCGCGCGCGGCCCCGGGCACGTCCCCACGCATGCGCACTCCGTGCCATGGCGGCTCGAGAACCCGGGAGAGGGGGTCGGGCGGACGCGGGACAAGACGCGGCGGATGCGAGCGTGGGCTGCTACAGTGGGCTCCCGCGGCGCCCGGCTCCCGGCCCGGCGGCGGTCAGAGCTGTCGGACCTGAGCGAGCTCGCGACGCTTTGTTCTCCTTCCTTCTAGCTGGTCTGGTGTGTGTGATCTCCCCCTCCCGGCCCAAGTTATAGTCACAAGCACTCTCTCCTCGTTTCCTCACCGACTTCTTCTTCGTTTGGGTCCCCTTTTTATTCTAACCTTTCATAAATTCCTTAAATAATCTGTAGAAAGTCTGGAGAGAATGTTACAAAAACAACAACAAATACCTTCAGCAAAAGCTCATCTTCCCGTAGTCGGCAGGATTCGAACCTGCGCGGGGAGACCCCAATGGATTTCTAGTCCATCGCCTTAACCACTCGGCCACGACTACTGCTGCTCTTAAATTTAGCAGTGAGAATCTATGTAGACTGCTCGCAAGCCTCTGCTGCTGCAGTAACAGGTACGTTTGCATCCGGAGAAAAACGTTGCCCAGCTGTTCTAACAGGAAGGCATTTGAATGTTCCTGCTCTACTCATTTTAGCTGTTTGAAAGACTCCTAGAAGGTATCCTGCTCAACCTGTTCTATTTCATCAGGAGGAAAGCCGAGTTGGAGTTCATCTCCAAATTAGAGTCATAACACAGGAGAGACCGACGGGAAGGGAGGGTGACAGGAGAGAGTGGTCCCGGGACTACCGTACACCTACCTGTTTGCAGAGCCATGGAGTCATTTCCAGGAAGGAACCTCGACCAGTCACCAGTCGGGGCAGCTGACTGACTTCCTGGCTTCTCTGCGTGGCTCTGGGTTCCATCCCTTGCCTTTCTGGTAAACAGCTGCCAGGACTCTCTTTTCGCCCACTAGGCATTAAAATCCTAATGCTCACAAATTTAAATTGATTGTGCAGGGTCAAACTGTCCCACCTGCCATGAAAGCACTACTTGGAAATATGTAAAGTATGATATAAATGTAGGGTGTTGTTAT